ATAGTAAATCTGCAGACTCGCATTAACTCCTCGAAAACCAGCAGACGAGTGAAAGAAGGGCGAATGAAGGGGATAGAATAGCCAAGGACACGTGGTCATAGCGCCTTCTGGCCTCTGAAACAAATGCGAAATTAATATCTAGTGTATCTCACACATACGCCTGCCCGCTGGAAGGTTAAAGACTTTAGAGGAAAATGGTTTAGATATTAGTAATTTACGCAGCCAAGAATACGACAATGGTTCAAACATGAGAGGTAGACATTTTTCCGAGTAATTATGCTCAAATTGTTGCTTTTCTGAATTAAAAATTTAACTTGAGTTTAACATAATATGTAATTGCACTTACCTTTTTTTATGTAGAAAAACAATAACAACAAACAATCACAAAAAAGATAAATGTTGCACATATTACTATGACTGCAAAAATAGACACAAAATAAAGATTAAGCAATTTGTCGAACGCGTCTACCCTTACATACACATCAGCATCAAGTATTTTCACGTTCAAAGAAGACAGAAGAGTACACCAGAGACGAACTCCTGCCCTGGTTATAACTTTCAGTCAAATAAGACAGTGCACTTGGAGGAAGGGGCACTCAGCCCTGGCAAGCGCCAGGCTGTCTTAACATAGTTAAATGCTCCAACCCCTAGAGGCAATTCAAGAGGCCGTTAGCATAGGTCGAGCCAACGAGCTAAGACTAAGTTTAGCGCTGCCTGAGATAACCACTGACCTGACTTTGTACAAGTTACATGTGATAGTTACATAAAATCATGACAGTTATGTGCACATTTAAGCATTATCTGAATTCATATTTACAATACTTTTATTGAGAAAATCAAAGTATACTTGTAATTCATTTACACATTGACTGGATTTTCAGTGTCATTTTAAACTGCTTTACAATATTATTTTTATCAAGTACATAACCTGGATAATAATATGCTAACATTACAATAGTTTTGCTCTTACAGTCTTGTTACTATTCTGTGAAGTGAGCTATTTTTCTAGTGTTGATTTTCAGACTCAGCAACTTGCAATCCACGTCCCTGTTCTGGAAGGATGGTAAAAGCATCTGCTATCAACAGGGGCCTCAACCCTGGACAGCAGAGCAAAGTCACTTAAACACTGTCAAACAGACAGGGACGCCAATCCAGCCTGCTAACACTATGTCATGGTATACAGATGTCAGCTTTAGGCTCCCCAGGGGGAAGCAAAGGAAGGATATGAATATGCAGTTTTGAGGCTCCAGGAGCCCACTGGAAACCTCAAGCAGTTTAAAGGCTCGCTGAATTCGCCAGCTCCTCGATGGGGGTGTTTTACCCAGGACAACCATGAATATCTGACTATATAGCTGCACCACAACCAATGGACAAAACAATACCATACGGTCCCTGCCGAACCTGAGACAGCCATTGCCAGTGATGACTTCAGTCCTGTGGAAACTGAATTTAAACACCCGTGGTCGAGAATGCGTAAGTACAGATCCTAATGAATAGTTTCCCAGGTTTTACCTGAGTCGACTCCCGGAGGGGCATTCAAATAAGACAAGCATTTTCTTGTTCTGACAGGCAGCGAGACGAGCTGCTTGTTTTAATGATTGCCCGGCGCCTTTTTGACTCAGCACTGTTGTGCGCCACACGTCGTTGAACCTATTGTCGACGCGAGCCTGAGTACAGGCATAGGTACTGCAGTTATCTATCCATATATGTAGATTGATCTAAGTCAACTGGTCCTGTTGAGATGGCATTTATAATTGGTGGCCACATGACGAGGGCAAATGTTTACATGGCGCTTTACTGCCGTATATTATGCGCTTTTATACATCTCAAGGCTATGCCATAAAAAATTCATTTTATATACAGACTTGTACAATGCACTTTAGAATCTTTTTTCCAGCACTGAAAATCCTCTGATAGTTGATGTACTCAAGTTAAATATAAAGTTAACAATTTATGGATATGAAATTCTGTACTGTTGTGCTCCCGTACATACTGCAATAAAAGGTAATGAGCTGGCATACATCACAGTGAAATCTGCTGTTGAATTGTTCCATCGCCTCATCCCTTTGAGAGATATCAGTTGTGTCATCAAACAAAAGATCATTAAAAAAAATGGCAGTGACTATGGAACTTCCAATCTTGTAACAACTTAAGAAGGGTGAGGCCTAAAATAGAGCATTGGGATTCTACTAGAAATCGTAAGGAAGAAGTTCTTTTGACTCACTTAGAATTGGTCACACTAGAGTGACACATAACTACATACTGAAAGCTGAGAATGAGCGTGGTTGTTCAAATTGTAATGTTTGTCTGTCAGAGCCAGATTGTTGGCATCCACTCCACATCTCCTGGATTAATTCTCCTTTAGGGTACCAGGGAAATGAGGAGGTGGACTTACTTGCAAAAGAGGTAGTGCAGAACTTACACTTGCAGCAAAGAGAAGTGCTGTGCCCTAGAAGCAGTATTAAAAGGACAGTGTGGAAGGATGCTCTAATCCACTGGCAAGAGGATTGGGATTCCATGCCACAGAGTAGACACACATACGAGTTCTTCCACAGGATCAGTACAGACAGTTTAATATCACACCCACATATAACATGCTTCGTAACTGGACATGGAGTCATTTCTCAGTTACTCTTATGATAGGTGCCTAACAACTACCAACGTCTGTGTATGTGGAGATGTGGGCAAGCCTGATCATTATTTGACATCATGCCCACTTACACGAGACTTTCACCACGCTCTGCCAACTACAAATACAGCCGCCTACAAAAGATTCATGGTCAAGCAACCTTCAATACAGAAGAAAATGCATCTAATAATGCTAAAACTCGAAGCGCTAGGCACTAAACTCTGCAGTGCAGATCATGGTATAGCTACATTAGCTATAAGAGACATAACTCTTAGATACGTATTAATACCTTTATGCCAGTTAATGTAATGCTAATGCAGTTTAACGCTGAATCTAACTTAATAGAATAATGCACATTTTATGTTTTGTATGTGTTAATGTAATATAGCTATGCATGTATTATTAATATATAATGAAGTACAGTCAAAAGTCATTAATTCGGACACCCATAATCCGGAATGATCTATAATCCGGACCTCAAAGCTACAAACTTTCTGCGCATGCGTCGTTTTGACGTATGCGCATAGGTGCTTACGCATGCGCGTAAGACCTTTACGGCTGCGAATATGCATGTGCGCATGTGCATAATACATTTACGCATGCGTGTTTAATGTATAACGGATGGTATAAGCTAAGCTAAACTTATCTAATTATCTATTTCAGTTAATGTTGCAGATTGCGTTGTTCCTTAATCTTCGAATTGGATCTGGCTTATTATTTTTTGCAGACTGTTAGAGCAATTTTATAAAAGTAAGCTTGAACTTTCGATTATGTCAGATAGAATTTCCGATGCTGGAGCTCCCAAACGATCTACAAAGCGAAAGTATATTCCGATGTCCATCAAATAAAAAGTGGAATTGCTGCAAAAAATGGATAAAGGCATATCCTTTGTTTCTCTAACCATTCCGAAATCTGTTTATCAATTTCACGCTTCTCTGCGGCGGGGGGGGGGGGGGACGCCATGGCTCGCAATGAATTGGAAGTTGATTTATCAGCACTATTCTTATCTTCAGGGCAGATGTTTTTATTTTATTTAGCTTATAATTCCTTACTAAATGTAGTATTTCATCTCGATGTACTCTGTCTTTGATATGATTTAAATCAAATTCATCATCATTATAATTCGCTTCCGATAGTGAAGAAAGTGACACAGAGGTTATTGAAAACGAAAAAATTTCGATTGACAAATTAGTCGGTATTCTCGACACAGCAATTATAGGACTTGAACAGCAGAACTTTGTAACTGAACAAGAAATTATGTCTCTTTATAGAATTAAAGAGAAAGTATTATCACATAAAACAAAGCAACTTAAACAACTTACATTGAAATAAATGTTTAATAAAGTAAACAAATAAGTATTAAGCTTTTTTTTGTGTAAATTTTGATAGCCTTTAGATCATAATTGTTCTTTTATTTCATAAATTACGGTTTCATACTTTTAATTTTATAATTTCTGCATGCCATCTTACCAGATTTAAACTGATGATCTATAAACCAGAAAAATCGATAATCCGGAATCGCCGAAGTCCCAACGAGTCCGGATTAACGACTTTTGACTGTATATAGTTATAAGTTGCGTAATCTCCATTGGTACTGCTCTGTAATATGTCTGTAGAGTTTAGGAAATGTTATTATTGTATGTATTAATATATCGAATGCACTATTAAGATATAATGTAGAACATTACTGCTGTGGTAATTCAATATATTAACACAATTTCTTGACGTAAAGTATTTCTATATTGTTATTGTAAGAATCCACAATGTGTCTGTCTTCCAACATCAGCCCCTGTTTGGCAGTGTTGTTTTTCTGGAAAATTACGGGATCTGGACGATACCCGAATAGTCAGTGAAAGCTGTCCATGTGTCCAGACCCTGCTGTGACCTTTCAGTCCATGACATTTTAATAATGTTCATCAGATGTATTTTAATAGCTGTGACTTGCCTCTCGATCGTCTAATCGGAAGAGAGGTCAATACCAATTTGTTTCACTACCTGAAAGAAAGAGGTTTCTTTTCTTTAATTTGGTTGGTCGCCAAAATCGTGTCGAGATTCCATTTTAGAATTTGAATGTTATGTATTTTACTGAATCAGATGTTTTATGATTTTACATCTGTACTGCATTATCATTATTTGAATCATAATCAGCAGTTCATCGCACCATTCATAATTTTACTACTAGTCTCGATTTTATAAGAGTGCCGTGTTTTTGAACTTACCTTTTACCTAACATATGTACAATAACTTGTGTGTTAAAGTACGAGTCCTGTGTTTCGTACATATCACCTATAGAGTTTTGTTCCAGAAATCCATTACTGTCACATCCACATTTATTGGAAGCTTTGAATTAAAATGTACTGTTTGCTTCTAGGGCTTGTTGGGAGATGACACAGTACTCGCAGCATCTGCTTGGAGGATATTATTTGATCGTCATTGCATAGACCCAAGACTGCTAGAAAATGTAGTGCTGTATATTAGGCGACAGGTATTGTAAATAATACAAATTTTATGATACTTCTATAAGGTGAAAGTGTAATTCTAGTTTCTTAGTCATGTAATTGGTATAAAGATTTGGATAATCTTTGGAATATGGTAACAGGTAGTTTGGCGACATTTTGGTAAGGCGATAAAGGTTACTAGCTAGGACTTTAGCAGTGTACATGGATAAAGTCAAGAGTGTCCGCAATGCCATTTTTGTGCAATTCTGGGATGTTTTTTTAAGTGAAAATAGGTCGACGTGTACATCGATACCGTGTACGTGCAATTCTTAAAAACACGGCAAGCAGTTTGCGATTTTGCACTTTCTCCCAATTTCGCACCTAATCTTCATCATGATTAAGCACTTTTGTTCCATAAAAGTTCTCGCATAAGTGTAATTCGGCTAGCAGATTGTTGGAAACAAATGTTGGAAAAAAAAAAGAAAAAAAAGATGCCTTTACTTTGTGAAAACAAAATGGCGTCCAAACAAAAACTAGCAGGTTGCTGTAGCAGGGTTGGTCGCCAAATTTTTGCCAAAAAATCACCGAGTTACCATACTCCAAAGATTAACCAAAGATTTTTAAATATAAGTCTTCCTAAAAACTTTTTATTTACATAACATTTATATAGAAATGTAAAGACTTATAAAAATGCTCTATAAATTATATATTAATTAAGGGAAATTGCTACCACATTTTGGATGCAAAATAGCAGCAGAAGCATTCAAAGATTGTTGCCATTCTTTTCAATACTTTCCCATCAGTGTACAAAGTATATGCCCCCCCCCAAAAAAGGGATTTTTTTGCTGTCATGATTGATTTAAATAGTAGTCTTATCTGCTAATTTCAGTGTTTTGCAGATAATGATGGTAGCACATTATTTGCTGAGAAAGAGAATGTAGATGTTTAAAGACATTCTTGGAAAAATACTTGAGTTTCACATACTCATTGTGAAATAACTGGTTTTGACCTTTGACAATTGTTCAACATTTTCAACATTCTGAAATATTTTCTCTAGCTGTTGATCACATTGATATGGGCCGCTACATAATGTGTGTAAAGATTTATGTTTCAAAGGTTAGCATATAAAAACATACTCACAGCAATCTAGATGAGCGAAGATGAAGGCCTTTTTCTTTCTGTGATTCAAAGGTGCATTGTTGATTAAGCAGTTCTAAGGAGGGAATTTGAGATAGAATCATTATCACTAAATCTTTCTCTAGAAGGGTGTAGTTATTTTACTTATTGATAAACTTTCTGTTGTAGTACCACTGTTATTGTTCTGAAATTACTGTATTTCGCTTTATGTGCATAAAATATGCTTAGCAGATGAACTTGACCAAATGTGGGTGTGTTGTGCTGAGACAGCAGTGATAAACAAGCTGTTACTTGTTCTTTGTTGGCTGCCGAGATTGTGTTAAGTACCCACTTGCTCAATTTGTACACCATCCTTATGTGGTGTAGGCAAAGTCTGATGATTTTCGTGTAAACTTGGAAGCATTTGGCAAGTTTACCACATGTTCGCTGTCTTCCTCTGTTGTTGATTTCAGCACCTCTCATGTAACATCTATGGTCACATAGATGACCATAGATACAGTAGGTCAAAGACCATAGATACAGTAGGTTGATTACAGTAGGTCAAATTTTATCTGAACTTCTGGAGCCAATAGCTGGCAGTGAATTCATTTATAGCATCTTCTCAAACTGCCTGATGTAGTGGACAACTTATTCTTATTATTAACTGATTATTAACTGAACTCATTATTAACTGATGGTTATTCGGTTGCTAACAGGCTTACCTTAAAGTCGTGCAGCGAACAACTTGTAAACAAGTTGCTTTGATACCTATATTTCTCAACACTGGACAATCTGTGATTGCTGTGTGTGTGCAGTTTGCCTGTGTTAATGCAGGTCAATGGTTATGCTAATCCTCCATCATTTTTCTGGCATGTGAATTGCATTGTTTAATCACTGTTAGCACTTCATTAAGTGGCATGTTAAAAACACAAACTTTTTGGGTTGTCTCATATGTCATGCAAGGCCCTAATGTTCCTTCAAATATAAATTAATTGTTATTAATATTAATTAAGCACTGAACCTGAATGTAGAAAGATCTATTGAATTTTAGCATTAAATAGTACATTTTGTTATTAATATCATAAATTGTGTTACGCTTACCTGTAACTCCTCATGCCCACAAGCAGCCCTTTATGCAAAGAAATACTATATACTATTGGTATATAGTATTCATTTGAAACCATATTTATATAAACAACTTTTAAAACACAATAATATTGCCATTAAACACATTGAGTTACATGATGGAGAATTAAAAGAGTTAATGAAGAAATAAATTAATTAAATGAAGTTAGAACAAAATACAATATTCCAAGTTGACATGCATCCCAATTCCAGCTGACAAAGTGTCTGGAAAAACTCCTGTTTTACAAATTTTTAAACGTGGTGTTTAAATTCAAGATTTTGAGTATTTTATTTGATTTTAGATTGTGAAAAATTTTTATACCTGAGGAATGAAACTTTTTTGCGTCTAATTTATAAAAGCTTAATAAATGTGATCAGAATTTTTGTTTTATGGAGGCCACATAAAAAGGTAGATTCATATATTTATATAACCTTCCCATATCCAGTATAAAAATATTTTCATACAATTCACCAGATTGTTTTGGGAAACTTTAGAATTGGAAGACTCAACTTAAAAAAAGATGCTAAAATTGCTAATAGTATTCAGTAAATTTATTGTAGGGTATCAGATTGTTTAACATCAAGATGATGGCAACCTTATATGAAAACTCTTGTAAAATCAATTTCTTAAAATCTCCTAAATGATGAGTTGGCATGGGGGAAAAAAAAAAAAAAAAAAAAAAAAACAATGTATGGCTATCATAGTTTCACAGTTCCAAGTTGTGCATAATTTAATGTGGTCATTGTCTTATGTAATATTTGTGGTATTTATGATATATTTTAAAGAATATTTTTAATTTCAAAATGTTTCATTTTTTATGTACAGTTATATGAATTTTTTTTTCTGTGTAAAGTAAAACTATCAGTTTGATATTTTGTTTTGCTAAGGTAAAGTATGAAATCTTTGCTGAAATTTCCATTGCCCAACACTGCATTGATTTTCTCTTAAACTTTTTATGAGATTTTTAGTTTTTTTTATTTCAGTTTCAAATTTCTGAATGTACTATATTCATTTGAGTTGTGTATCAGACTATAAAATTTATTCATTTTTGCTATCATAAACAGTGTCCAATGTCTAGGTAGACCGAGAGCAAATTATAGCTAAGTCTAACAACTGCAACTTAAAAAAGGTGTAAAGAACACTTTATTATAAGTAAAATAGAACAGAATGCACACCTGGTGCCCATACTGCCAACACTTATGTCAAGAAAACTGAAAATAAGAGTCAAATGTAAATTTTAATTTAAATAAGCTAGTAGCCAAAGACTACACAATTTAATGCTTAGTTGGCTCACAAACCTAACCAGCATGGATATTCATATATCAGCAGCAAATAATGCAAAGCTAAAAAATTCAGGCTGTCAAAACTGGGAGAATCGTAACACACGTAAACACAGGCAGAGACACGGTCTGTCTTAGAATCTAATAACTTCAGCTTAAATATTCAAGGGGATAAAATGGAAGGGAGAAGTGACTGCAAAGATACAAAACATAAAATACCTGATTAATGAAAAGTAATTGTAACCTTACAAGACCATACATTAAATTTTCTATGAAGAGGTCAATTTATGCTTTTCGTAAGTTTTGAATTACCCGAGATTCTTTTTTCCCAACATAAATTTTGAGATACTTAATTTATAGGATTTCTTCTTTCCCTCTGTTTGTTGTCTTTTATTTACTTGTTTTTATTTTATGAAATTAGAATGCATAATCTGTAGTTACATAATATAGATTTTCTTGTCTTACATATTAATCCAGTTACATAATAAACCCTTTGTTTCACATGAGGTGTATTCTAAGTTATACGTGTGTTTAATGTGTTTCTTTCCCTTCACAGATATGCCACTTAGACTCACTAAATACTGAAGAGTTTATTATACGTGGAATGGTATCATTTATGCCTTTTCAAGATGCAATTCATGACATTATGTCGGACAGAAATGTATAACTTATATGTAAGATAATAAATTTTTAAAATGAGTTATGTTATTCATGAGTTATTTTCTTTAAATTATATTGCCTTATTTTAAATATAAGGTTCTAAAATGAATAAGCTTTTATATGATTTATTTATATGTTACTAGATGTATTTTGTTTTGATGTATTAATGTAGAAAAATTGATTAGCCTATTCTGAAATAAATCCTTATTTCAGTTTCTGAACTTAATAGTCTATAACAGAAGAGAAACACAGCAATGTGACAATCAAAATCGCTATAACAACCTTGTATTTAGCATACATATATTAAAACACTCAATCGATTTCAAGGGCAGCTAAAAGTCCCTCCTCATCAGGAGAACGAAATTACTAGAAAGGGGAAAAAAGAAGAAAAATAAAGCATTCGCAAAGGGATCTCAGAAACACGTGGTCATAACCGGATTTTTAATCAGAGTTACACTGGCCGCCTACTTTTACTGAGCCGGGCTGTCTGATCAAACATATAACACATAGACTAAAATGCAAAAACATCAGCGAAGTAAAAAAATAGGGAGCGAGGGGCAAATGCACCTTCACGCACCAAGTCTGAACCTCGAACTTCAAACCTTTTATTACCTGTTGATAATCGCAGGCTAGTTTAAATTAAGGGCCAGTTACATTAGATATTTGTGTCTAGCTTCAATTATGTCTATTTTAGTTAGTATTAGATTCATTCCTTATTTTCTTATCCTGATTTAAAAGCCCGATTGGAGGCTTTCCTGTAAGTTCGAGAAGGGGGCCATCTGTTATTATTTCTTTGAGTGAATAAAAGGATATTTTAACCTTTCTCGAGTGTACATTGTAAGTGCTTGAAGTTGGTGATAATTCGCTACTCAGTTCAGGTTCACTAGGTTCCTCGACATTTTATCATTGTTTTGACTCAAAATCAGACTTCGTTTAATATCCAATTTATTCATTTGTGTGTGTTCGTAAAAGAACACACACAAATGAATGCTATTATTTACAGGTAGATCCTCCACTCCCCTTTGCATTGCAGGCATGTTTTCCTTAAAGTAATGAAAATGTATACATATAATAGACATAAATTTTAACACATGACATGAAACTGAACTAAGAACTGTAAATGTGTGAATATAACATCAAAGAACAATAAACACACAAAACAAATGACATTACAATTATCAAAGTCTAAGAAAAAATGTCAATAACAGTTCATAAGTCCATCCGCCCTCTCAACGTTACGGGTGGAAAATTCCATATAGAAGGCCGCCTTCTATATTCATTACAGTCGAAAGTCATTAATTCAGACACCCATAATCCGGAATGATCTATGATCCGGACCTCAAAGCTACAAACTTTCAGCGCATGCGTTGCGTGACGCATGTGCATAAGACCTTTACGGCTGCGCATATGCCTGTGCGCACGCGCATAATAAGTTTACGCATGCAACTTTAATGTATAACGGACGGTATAAGCTGAAATTATCTATTTCAGTTAATGTGCAGATTGCATTGTTCCATAATCTTCGAATTGGATCCGGCTTATTTTTTGCAGACTGTTAGAGCAATTTATAAAAGTAAGCTTAACTTTCGATTATGCAAATAGAATTTCCGATGCTGGAACTCCCAAGGATCTACAAAGCGAAAGTATATTTCGATGTCATCAAACCAAAAGTGGAATTCTGTAAAAAAATGGATAAAGCATATCCTTTGTTTCTCTATCCTTCTGAATCGTTTATCAATTTCACGTGCTCTGCGACAGAAAGGGGGCAGAAACGCCGCGGCGCGCAATGAATCGGAAATTGACTGTCAGCACTATCCTTATCTTCAGGGCAGATTTTTTATTTTATTTGCTTATAATTCCTTACTAATGTATTTCTTCGAGTCTCCGTCTTGATATGATTTAATCAAATTCTTCTCATTATAATTCGCTTCCAATATTGAAGAAAGTGACGCAGAGGTTATTAAAAACAAAAAAATTACTTTGACAATTAGTCGGTATTCCGACAAACAATTATGGGACTTGAACAGCGGAAACTTTGTCACTAACAGAAATTATGTATGTTTATAGAATTAAAGAGAAAGTATTATCACATAAACGAAGCAAATAAACAACTTACATGAAATAATGTTAATAAAGTAAACAAATAATATTAAGCTTTTTTGTGTAAATTTTGATAGCCTTTAGATCATAATGTTCTTTATTTCAAAATTACGGTTTCATATTTTTAATTTTATAATTTCTGCATGCCATCTTACGAGATTTAAACTGATGATCTGTAATCAGAATCGCGAAGTCCCGACGAGTCGGATTTAACGACTTTGACTGTAACATGAAAATTTCTGCTAGCTTTTAATGTATCTGATTTAGGTTTGGATGTAAATTGGAAGAAAAGAAATCAAGGTACAAAATGACAGAGTCATTTTTTAATTAAAATCAAGAAAATGCCAGTTATTCATGACATTTTGAGGAACTTTGAAATTTCAGGGCTAAACCCGTAACGCTCAGAGGATTAACGCACTGCTCAATGATGATCGTTTCGAGTTACCTTTATATTTTCCGTAATCTCATTACCGCAAGTCCCCAAGAGTTTCACCCTGGCAGCCTGGGTTCGATTCCTGGCATGGGAACCATCTGATGTATCAGACTCGGTCCAACACTCAGACACTCGTTTAAAGAAGCATATCCAGGCCTTTTGAAAGAAGCGTTGAACACTGGACGAACTTTGGTAGTACTGCTGGATGGCTTGATAACAGGCCTTTGAATGAGATAATGGTTGAGCTTAAACAGCTGCTCCATTGAAGCAGTTTCTATGACGCCTTCTAATATCCTCTGTTGGAATCCATCGTAGGCTTCGAAGTTATTTTCGGTTAACAAACGTTTTGTTACCGTGCGAAGTCTTGATTCAGCTATAGCATACTTATCATAAAAAGTAGGAGGCCCAGCTAGCCACGGCAAAGCTAGTTCATAACGTCCATCTTCACATACCCTTAAGGTTTTCTTGAAATGGATCAGTTTCTTCTTTAAGAATGATCTTATTTTTTCTTTCTATAGGATTTGTAATCCCTAAAACTTCTAAATCCCATATATTCGGCAACTCAAAATTTTTGAAGATTTAACGTGACCAAATTAAACACTTGCCGTTTCTTGCCTAGTCCTAAAATTGTCCAACCTAGTAAAGTCTCTACAGCTGAAACTCCAGATGTAAGTACCTCAATTCTTCCAGTTAAAATGCTTCCAAGTACATCGGCTCCTAGAAGAACTCGTATAGGTGGGGTATCTCTTCCAACATTGTCAGTTTTATCCCTCATGAAGCAAACTCAACAAGCAATGTTTCATCACATATTCTGGGTAGCGCTGAACAAATTTTCTGTTGATCAAGCAAAGGCATTAAAGTAGAATACTTTCGATCTAAACTTTCAATAGTTACTGTGCATCTATTATGCTCAGCAGGCAGAGAAATTCCTCCACCAAACAGTCCTTGAGATAACACTTCCTTTCCAGAAGGAGAAAGATTTAACCCAGCAGCTAAGCTCTTCTCAATGTAGGAACAATGTGATCCATTATCCATTAATGCTTGAACACAAATTCCTTTGCATCTATGCTGTAATCTGATCGTGATTGTTTTCAAATATATTTCACGTTCTGGAGGAAGATTTGTCAATACAGTCTTTGTAGAATTTAGTTTTTGATCTGCTACTTTGTCCTTTGATGAGGAATTAATATCTTTACGTAAATCTGGGCAAAGTAACGCGTAATGCCTCCGTGCATAAATCAAACATTTCACACTACTGTGACACCTTTTTGCCATATGACCAGGCTTAATGCAAGCAAAGCAGCATCTTTTGCATATAAGTTGAGATTTCCTGTCATTTTGGGAGCTTCTCACAGTCTCTACTAAAGTGTGGATGATCACAAAAAATACATTAACCTTTTCCTGCATGGATTAAATAAGAGCTGAATCAGAAGAGATATCAATTTTTGTAGTATCAACTTCCCTTTTAACCTTAACCTGATCGAGCCGAATTTATCATCTCTTTCCAGAGATACTCTGACTTGTAGCTTCTGCTTCGTCAATATTTTTTGAAATTTTACTCCTTTTCCCTACTCGTAGAACATTTTCCAGCAAACATGACTCCACCAATGGCTCTAAAAGGTCAGCAAATATTTCTTCTGTCCTCCCTAAACTTTCCAATTCTCTTAATTTTGTCTCTAGCATATCGTAGAAGGTGGCTAAATCAGGGGCATTCTTCCTGGCCGTAGCATGTTTCAGAACCAGTGGCATAAATCGCGGACATATATTTACACTAGGAGATCCTCCCGCCCAAATCCTAATTTCAGCTGTTATTGGGAAACTGGATATTAATCTAGCAGCTCTCGAATCAGGCACCATAGACTGGTATAAATACTTGAATTTGTCTATAGCAGTCAGTTCCTCTGAGTCATGTATTTTTGAAAAAATACTCCAAAATGTTAAAAATTCTTTGGGATCACCCGAAAGCATTTTAAATTCAAAGTTAGGTAATTTTAACTATATATCTCTATAACCCTCTGCCGCCTCAAAATCAGCTTCGTATTCAGCAACAGCTTCAGTATTTTCTAAAAGTAATGACGAAATGTTATTCTGAATCTCATTTAAATGTAAAAATTTATTTTGTAATTGAGCGTTCAACACGCTCAGCTCATAGCCATCCTTGGCGTCTACATTCGTCTCCAAATATTGCTTTAACTTATTCACCGTAAACATAACTGAAGCTCTTAACGACTCGTTTTATTTTCAGAGCATCCATATTTGTATATACACTTAAAATTATTCAAAATAAATTCTTAATTTCTGTTTATACTGAAGAAATTAACATGTTTATACTTTCTTAAACTTAAATCACTTTATCATCGTAAACAGCATATGGTATACTTATAAGTAGTAATTTAAATCATTCGTACCTGTACACTTTTACACTCATGTCCATAAATTAAGGATAATGCAAAATCAGGCAAAGGAAGAGTTAAAAGCAAAACAAATTTGACTTATTTGTAAAGCTT